GGGCAGCCCTTCATTCACCCAGATCCCCGCCTGACCCTCTAGAGGTCGGGGCCGCACCCCAACGACCTTGCGGGGGACCAGGCCTCGGGGCGCTGCGCGGAGAAAGGGGCAGGCGGAAGGCGCGGCCCCGGGGCGCGGGTGGTGAGCGTCCGTGTCGCCGGCAGCGTGGCGGAGACCCCGCGGCTGCTCGAGGGCGTGGACCCGGGCCAGGAGTACGCGCCCTTGGACGAGGACGACGGCCCGGTGGACTGTGACTGCCCGGCCGCCTGCTACCGCGGGCACCGGGGGTACAGGTCAGCGCCCGCCGCGGCAGGGGGCGGGGGGGGGGCCAGGGCCGCCCCTCCTCCTTCACCCCTCCTCCCCTTCTCCCCCAGGACCAAGCACTGGTCCAGCAGCTCCGCGTCGCCCCCTCCCAAGAAGAAGAAGAAAAAGAAAGGCGGCCACCGGCGAAGCCGGTGAGAGAGCGCCTCACCGCCAGGCCGGAGGGGGCGGGAGGGGCGGCGGTCCCCGGGTGCCCACCCCTCTGCGGGCAAGAGACCAGAGGCTGCATTTGGGAGCCCCGCACCTCGCTGAGCCCCCCCTCACTGGCCCCTCACTGGCCAGGCCCCTCCACTCACTGAGTCCCCTCATTGGCACTCACCCGACCCCAGAACTGGACATACTGACCCCTGGTTGACAGTCCATCTGCTGGAGGTCCCCCTTCCTCCCTCCCCCAGCAGCCCTGCAGTCACTCACCACACCAAGTGTGAGTGGCCTGGGGAGGAAGGATTTAGCTGGGTCACCTCTGCGGCTCCCCATCTGTATGTCCCCCTCTCCTGTCCTTAATGAGACCCTGGCAAACGTTTGAGCCCCAACTGCCTGTCTGTCCTTTTCTCTCCCTGGCCCCTCAGCAAAAAGAGGAGACTGGACTCCGAGTGCAGGTCAGTGATAAAGGCGGGCAGGGGTGGGGATGTCTGGGTGGGCGAGACTCCAAGGCCATCCCCCAGAGGCAGGCGGCCTGCCACAGCAGAGCCTGGACCCTGGAAACTGCCAGTGGGCCGGTTTTCCCCACGGAGGCCAGGAATGCCACCACTGGAGCCTCTGACATTTGGGTGTGAAACAGCCCTCACTTAGGATGCCAAGGAGGCTGAAGGGCGGCTAGGGGACAACACAGGCGGCTCCATCACCCACCCTTAGGGACCTTGCTGACTCTCGGGGCCCCGGTTCACTTTGTGCAATGGGCAGCTGGCTTCAGCTAGATGCCCCAGGCGGCCAGACTTCCCAGCCATGTCCAGCTGCCCCTGCCCCGCCCCTCCCGGGCAGCAGTTCACCAGAGCCCCACCCCCCACCCCCCTGTGTCCGCAGCTGTGGGAGCTCCTCACCGCAGCGCAAGAAGAAGAAGAGTGTGAAGAAGCACCGCAGAGACAGGTACCTTCTCTCCCCTGGGTTCTCCTCTCACCTCTGTTGGCCCCGGACTGTGGCTGTGCAGATCTGTGTCCCCAGGCCACCCCAGACAAACTCAAGAGAACTCTTTTGTGACCCTCCAGGTCTGATTCTGGGTCCCGGAGGAAGAGACGACACAGGTGAGTGATGCCCTGCTGAGGATGTGGACGGAGGCTAGTGCCACCCTGCAGGGCCAAGGCCCAAGGGAAGCAATGGTGGGAGGGGCGTGGTGAGGGTCTTTCCCTGCTCCATCCAACCCCCTCCTGGGACTCCTTCCCAGAGCCAAGCAGGGGAAGGAGGGCGGGGAGAGGAGGATGGAGGCCAATTGTTTGCAACACTTGCTGGTCCCATGAGTCAGCCTTGACTTGGGGACCCTAAGAATTTCCAGACAACACAGCAGGTCCATTATCCAAGGGGTGTGTCCACAGAGGTGTCAGAAGGAAGAAGCATCAGGACCCCAAAATTGCAGGGAAAGGGCATCCATACAGAAGGAAAGCTCAGTAGGTAGGCGACCGATAGGCAGGCTGTGGCTAGCCGTGGTGTCTAGGGGACAGGTGCCAGCCCCCAAACGACCTGACTGCCAGGTCAAGGAGGTAGCCTCCAACCAGACAGGGCTGGGAGCCAGCATGGGGCCCTGAGCAGGACAGAGACTTGTTCAGGTTGACTGGGGGAAGGGGGAGGAGGAGATGAAAGTCAAGAGCCCTGGCAGAGGCTGGGGTGGGAAAAGTATAAAACTCAGCGAGGAGGAAAGGAAGATGTAGGGCGGTCACATCCCCAGGGCTGGCATGGGAGACAGAGCCCCTCCCAGTGGCCCTGAAGAGGGTCAGGGTCCCCAGTCTCATTCCTGCAGTGGGACTTTGCCCATGGCCACTTGTCAGGTGGGGTAGGAGCATAAATAAACACCTAATCCCTACATCAAAAACTAATGATGTAATGTATGGTGATTAACATAACAATAAAAATTTTTTAAAAAACCACCTAACCCTGACCCTCCAATTTCCCCAATTTCCCATCCCCCCTTCCTTCCCTTCCTCTCCTCCCCTCTTCTTGGGGGCCAGTGTGGGCCCCTACTGCCCCCTCGTGGTCACCATCAGTGTGCACCCATCCTCCGGCCAGCTCCCATTGGTCCTGGGAAGGACCTAAAGGTGACCTAGGGCTACACCAGCTCCAGATGGGGAGACTGAGGCCCAAAGCAAGCAACATGAGTTCTAGAAATGAAATCTTTGGCCTCCTGGGCCTGTCCCCACCTACCCTGCTCCTGTGAAAAACACATCCTGTTGTTTCTTAGCATCACCTGGATATTTGGTCAGAAGAAGGCATCTGTTCAGGGCTAGAAGGATCGAGCTGGAATCTGGTGGCATCAGGGAGGGTGGGGCTGAGGGGGCCTACAGGGACCAGGGGTGGAGTGAGACCTTAGACACCTACTAGGAAGCTTTTCAATCCTTTTGTCAAAGATAGAAGGACCACTGTGGGGCCTGCCCCAGAGAGCTGGATGGGACGGGACGGTATGGGGCAGGATTGGGTGGGATGGGAAGCTTTAGGGGCAACCCTCGATGAGAATCCAGAGGACCCAAATGTCAGGGAGATCATGCCCAAGCGAGAGTATTTCTTTCCTAAACTCCTGGGGAGCTGGGCCCAGAGCTGAGCCACAGTCTGAGGGGGCAAAGAGGCAGGAAAGCCTGGGCTCTGCCCCAGAGAGCCCCATCTGAGGGGACCTGGGACCCAGGGGACACAAACGAGGTGTGGAGGGGTCACTCCTGCATGATGACTTATAGAAGGGCCTGTCCTGAGACTGATTCCAGAGGGAAAGGACAAGTCAGCCTTCTTTCTGGGGCGGTGGACACATCACTTTTGGCACCCCCAGGAGAAGCAGCTACTGGGGCTCAGACAGGCCGTGGTCGTGGGCCAGGGCCTACAGGAGAAGGAAGGAAGGAGGCTTGGCTGAGTGAAAGGAACCAAAGCAGTGGGGTGGGATGAGCAAGTCCGCCCGGCTGGGCGTGGGGACTCAGGTCCCAGACAGGAACAAATCTCAGATGCACAGCCAGGCACAGCCCTCCTCCTGCCCCCCCTGCTGGGCTCAGGCTGAGCTGTCACCTCAGCCTCTGCTTTCTGCAGATCTCGAAGCCCCAAGAGCAAAAGAAAAGAGAAGAACAAAGAGAAGAAGAGGTGAGAACCCTTCGCCCGTTCTCTAGCTCCTCCCCCCTCCCCCCTTCTAGAATCACAGAATTGGGCCCTTGGAGATACGTCATTTTGTCCCCGCTGCCCAGATGGAAAAATTCAGACCGAGGGAGGAAGCCAAGAGCCCCTGCCAGTCAGTGGCGGAGCGGGAACTGGGACCCAGGCCTCCTGCCTCTTAGTCCAGGGTTCTTTCAAGCTCGGGCCTCGTCACTCCCCCCGACGTCCCTGCACCCCTAGTCACGAGAGCACCAGCTGAGGGGTCCGTGAGGTCTTGGGGACCAGAGCTGTCTAGACAAAAGGACGCCTTTTCCTAATTCCCACAGATGACCCACCACCTGGACTAGGGAGGTTATATCTGTAGGAGACTGTAGGGGGTGGGGTCCCGCTTGGGGAGGTCAGGCAGAACTTAGGTACTGGAGGGCTTCTCTCCCAGGCCACACGCGGGGTCCCCGGGTCGGAGGTCCAATCGCCACAGCAGCGGCAGCTCTCAGAGCCCCTCCCTCTCCTCCCATTACAGCGATTCCAGATCACCCAGCAGGTAGGTCCTGGGCCCCTGGGAGCACTCCAGAGGTGGTTCAGCTCGGCTTTCTTGCAGATTGAACACTCCAGAGGGCTGGAGAAGGGGCGGGGGAAGAGGAGGGTGGACAGAACAGCATGGGGGGGGTGGATGGAAGTCTACCAGGAGTGAGCATGTGCCCACCCACCCTGGCAGTGGGCGAGGAAGAGCTTCGGCCCCTGCCCAGAGACGCCCCAGACCCTGAACTGGAAATCGAGGCAGTGTGCAGGTTAAGGCTTTGCTCTCTGAATGCAAGGGAGAAGGCGGGTGGGGGGGGCTGCTCTTCGTGCGGGGGCAGCGGTTCCACTTGCAGAGGGGGCGTCCCACGCCGGCTCCCCCATCTTCCCTCCTCCCCCAAGGCTGAGCCCCAAGCACCGAGATGACGGGCGGAAGACGGGCAGCCAGCGGTCCAGCGGGAGCCGGTCGCCTTCCCCGTCTGGCGGCAGCGGATGGGGGTCGCCCCAGCAGAACGGCGGCAACAGACAGCGGAGCGGAGCGCACTGGGGCCGCCCCGGCTCGGCGCACAGCCCGCCAGATGTACGTACGCTTCGCTTTGCAGAGGGTTCCCGCGCCGTGCGGGCTGCGCCGCGATGGGGGCGGAGGGGGGGCGTCACCGCCGGGTAGGGCGCGGTGAGTGTGCAACGGGGGATAGGCGCCGCTTCCCCCTCCCGGCTGGCGGGGGGCGACCTGGAATGCTTGGTTGTTGCGCCCACCTGGCCCGAGTGTCAGGGGGAGGGGGGCCTGCAGGCTTGGGCCACCCTGGAGCTTGGCAAACGGACGGCCAGAGGGGGCTTGACCACTGCGGCTCTCAGCCGGTTGGGAACAGAGCTGAGGAGAACCCAGGGTCTCCTGCCGCCCCTCCCCCCAGGCATATTGGGGTGGGCGGGGCATGGACGATGCTAGGGGTCGCAGTCAGGAACCGGATTCAAGAGACAGGATCTCCCCTGGGCATTACTTAGGCCCTGAGTCTCCCTCTCCCCACCAAGCCCTTTCCCCCTCTCTGAGCACCCTCCCTTCCTCAACCCCCTCACCGCCTCACTCCTCCTCCCTCAGAGCCCTCCCCTTTCTCTGTCCCCGAGCCGCTGCCACTGAGCTGCTTTTCTAAAGTCCCTGCTCCAAGGAGAGTCTGTCCTTCCCGCCCCCCACCCCGGGACTGCCCACGCGTGGACAGATGTCTCAACCCTGCAGGTTCCCATGTCCCACCCTTCCTAAAGCGCCTGCCAGTGTCCCCATTGCTCCCTCAGGGACTCCACACCAACACCACTCAAAAACTGTCCCCACCCATCCTCCAGGAGAGGCACAGAGTCCTTGAGACCCACAAGCAGATGTGGTGATGGTAGGGGCTGGTAGAACAGACAGGCTTCTCAGCCTTTCCCGGGTGGATGGGCTGGGGCTGGGAGTGGGGGGCTCTCCTGAGCCCCAGGGGAGGCCCACATCCCCTTTTGTCTATTGACTTTGAAGTACAGGATAGAGCCCCCTCAGGGAGAGGGGGCTGCAGTACTGGCAGAGGCACGGGGTGGGCATGGGGGACTTGGGATGGGCAGGCCTGCAGGTTCCCCCTCACCAGACCCAAACTGCCCCAGATGCCTCAGCAGGGAGGGTGGGGGCTGCCCCTCCCCAGACCTCAGGTCTCAGCAGCAAACATGTCCGTGTTGGTCAGTTTCATTTTTGATTTTTGGCTGTTTCCTTCACTCCCTTTCTTTTCTCAAACACCGTTACTCCCAAGACCTTAGGGAGGAAAGCCAAAGGCAGCTGACAAAAGGTTATTGATCTCAAGATTAATTTTTATTTAAGGACATTACCTGTTTCGAGACTGCCCCACTTGGACAGGGTCCTGAGCTCCTAGGGGCCTGGTTGGGCCACATAGGAAGGATCACACCCATGTCCCAGGATCTGCCTTGGGGGTGGGAGAGGACACACAGAGGTAGCTGGACGCAGTCAGGACAGTGGCTGGTGCCACAGGCCCCAGAGATAATGGTTCCATCTGGGAAAACCCAGGAGAGGGTGTACCCATCCCACCACCACCAAGGGCACAGAGTGAGAAGCCCAAACACCTTCTCACGGGAGCTTCCCATCCTCCTGGAAAAGCATAGAAGGCAGCCAGGGCCAACAGGAGGCTCCATCCCACTTCTGGTACCCTCTCCTCCCTGAGCAATAGGCCACCATGGGCCCTGGGCTTGTATTGACAGAATGCCCATGGTCTACATAGACCCCAGGAGAGTGCAATCAAGGAAGGCGGCCTAGCTTCCAGCCTTGGGCAGGACACCGCCTCAGCAGCACCCAAATCTTGACTCCCTCCCAGAATGGGATTCCATTTTGGCACTGCCCTGGGAGTTTCTGGGGAGACAGCACTTTGTTACCCCTTTCACAAAGCATGCTCCCCAAATCCTCTCCCTGCCCTTGGGCCCTGCGAGATCTGGGACCTCAGGACATCCAGGCCTTTCACCTGCACCTCCTGGGAGGTGAGATGGGGGCGGGGGGGAGGGTGGTGTCGTAGACTTAGCCATTCACCAAAAATGTCTTTGGGGACAAGTACTGGGGGGTGGGGGTATTCTTGGACTCTACCTTAAAAAAAAAAAAAGAGAGAGAACAAACGGAAAAAAAAGAAAAGCTCACCATTTTTAACCCCGTCTATGTTTTTGCTTGTTTTTTTAGCCTCCCATTTGAACCGTGGTAATATTGTGATTCCATTTCTTGTTTAGTTGGCAAGGGAAGAGGGTGGGGAAGTATATGTAACTTTTCCTGTTATTTTGTTTTTGTTTGTATTTTCTTTCTTTTTTTGTTTCCTTTGGTAATGTACAGAAATGCAAACTATCTCTCTGTTTGTTTGTTTTTTTTCCTATCTTCTATGTTGTTCTAGAATTTTGCTTTTGTGCGTGTTACTGTGGGAGCCTCTCCTTCTAATGCAGAGATGGGTTTTGAATCTCAAGCGAACATTAATCGTATACATATTTCTATATACTTATTCTTTTTTCCTTTGTAACCAGAATTTAAAAGGGAAGATAACTCTTAAAAAGTGACTCCCACGCCAACAGCTCCTGCCAAATCTGCAGCGGCAGCAAATCCTCTCCTTGACCCCAGGGCATGTGCTGGAACTGCCTCAGTTTTTAAATGAACAGAAGTGGCCCAGACTGTTCTTCCATGTCCCTATCTATAAGGAACCTTGGAGGGAAGCTGGGAAACCCAGGGAGGAAGAGAGACTTGTCCCGAGTCACCTGGGGAGCATCCCAGGGCAGTGAGCACCCGGTGTCTCCCCAGTTCCATCTAGTATAAGATGGCTGGGGATGACAGGGCCAGGCTGCTGAGCACCTTCTGTGGCAGGCCTCAGATCCTAGAGGAGGGAGCTGTACACCCCCAAGAGAGTTTAGCTCAGGTGAGGGCTTCAAAGCCAGACACTCCCAGCAAGAACACAAGTCCATCCTCATCTTGAGACTAAGGCCAGCTGGGTGCTGGCTCCCAACACATCTTTGTGTTGTTCCATACCACGCCAGGGAGAAACCCCCAAAGGGATTTCTGGGTTCTGCTACTTACTGCTCCCTGCAGCTCAGAGAGGTCAAGTGGACCAGCTCAAGGTCACACAGCTTTTTAGAGGTAGACCCAAAAGGAGACTCCAGCCCTCTTACCTCAAGACCACCAGCCACAGCCAAGATGTGGAGAGAGTGGTCAATGGAAAGCACATTCTGGGAACCCTGAGTAAGGGGAGAAGGATTCGGGAGGTGCATGCTGGTTGTCTCAGCTCCTGCCTTCCCCCTGGGGAGCCCCTCCAGATGTCAATGACACACCCCCAGCTCTCAACTCCCTGGCACTGGGGCCTGCCCACACAGAGACCAGGGTATAGGTGGGCCCAGCATTCAGCAAGCCCAACTCTCTATGAGGGCTGCTTCAATGACTCAGGGAACCCTATGCCCTCCCAGTATGGGGACAGAAACAGTGAAGCAGAGAGGGAAGGGGGCACATGATTTGGGACAGAGAAGTCAGATGTTGAGCCCAAGTCCTAGAAAAGGTGTGCAGGGTTTAAGGACTTAGAAGTAGGGCCCCTGCCTTGGCTCTACCTGTCCCTGGCATTGCAAGTGTCAAAGGGAAGACTCACTATTCGGTGAGGGTGGCAGAGAAGGTTCCTGAGCAAGGCCCCTATAGGCTCTCTCTGGCCTCTAGTTTTGGCTCAAATGTCATCACAAAATGGGCGGCCTAGGGTGACCCCAAGCAGAGGTGCCCATGGCACTGCCTGACCTGCCCCATCCCAGGCCTCCCCCCCACCTGCCCCCAGAAAGAGCAGTGACCACAGCTGGAGGGAGGCAGTCAGAATAGGAAGGGGCATCTTGGCCTTTCTTCCAGGATGAAGCCAGAAGGTAGGAGGGATGGGTTTTCCTAAAATGATGCAGAAGCCCCGGGAAAGTGGCAGGCCTGAGGCAAGATCTGACCTCCAACCAAATCTGTGGTTGCCTTCCCTTTTAAATGCACCCATCCCTTCACCCCATCCATCCACTCTGCATTGTTGAAAACAGCTTTTCTCTCCTTTTTCAGTGTGGGCCCACCTCTCTCTGTTCCCTGCCTGTCTGTCTATTTCCTTCCGCCTTTGTTTCTCTCGCTCGCTTGCTCTCTTTGTGTCTCTCTGTCTCTTTCTCTCCATCTCTCTCCCCATCGTGGGCCTCTGTCCCCATGCTGCCAGCCCCTCCCCTTAGCCCACCCCCTGGTTCTGCTTCCATCAGCTGCTTCCTGCATGCCCTCTGGAGGTTTTCTGTTGTTTAAAGAGTTAAGGAAAGCTTGGCTTATTGGAGCCTGTGGGTTTAAAAAAAAGAGAGAGAGAGAAAGAAAGAAAAAAAAAAAAAAAGCAAACAGAACTGGCTGGGCAGGAGCCCCCTCCCATCCCTGGGACTAGAACAAAAGCCACACGGGCTGCACAAGTGCTGGTTCCCGAGGGGGGAGCGCAGCTCAGAGTCACTGTCTTCCCCCCCTTCTGCATTCCCAATGCGGAGACCTTCTTTTCTTTTTTATTATTGCATTCCTGTCCCTGACCACTGAGAAGGTAGGTATCCCGGCTCAGCTGTGCGCCCGCTCGCTCCCCATCTCCAGATAAGCCCCTCCACTCTGCTTGGTTTGAATGTGGTTTTCTCTCTCTTTCTCTCGATCTCACTCTGGTTGGTTTTCTCCCCCTCTCCCTTTTCTTTCTTTATTTTAGTGACTACTCATTTGTAACCTTGCATTTTCTCCAAATGAGCTACGAAGCTGTGTTTCCTGGTTTGTCGTTTGGTTTTCTTGACTCCCTCCCACCACCCCCCACAACTTTTCTTGTTCATCCTCCCATCCTGTCCACCTGCCCTGCCCCTTCTTCTTCCTCTCCCACCCCAACCCCTGCCCACCTCCAGCCCCCTCCACTCCCTCTCTTTCTCATTTTGTTGTCCGAATGCATTTCTGTGTGGTTAGCATTCCAAGTTTGTGTTCCCTTCCTGAACTGTATGCTGCGGTTGAGCCAATTTGATTTCTGTTGTCTGGAGTAGCTGCTAAGCCCCCCACCCCTCACCCCTACCAGCCCCTGG